TGTGAGGTAGGTGGGGCTGAGAGAGCTCTGACAGAAACTGCTCTTTTTCAAGGACAGCTCTGACAAAACTATGGCTTGCCCAAGGTCATTCAGCAGGTGCAAGTGGAGGAGTGGGGAATCAAACCCGGTTCTCCCAGATTAGAGTCCGAGCACTTAACCACTACACCAAAGTGGGTCTCGATGCCAGCAGTGCAGCTCAAAAAACCCCGGGACCCCTATCCTGAAAGCACAGTGCAGCCCTCTTGCTGAAATTCCTCTGGATGTAGTCAGGGCCCAGAGCAGAGACTTTCTGGGAATCTGATCTGAGTTCTGTGATGGAAATCAGGTGGGATGTAATAATATGTCTGTAAAAGGCAGTCGGGGAAAATGGAAGTCTCAGAGACTTGGTGTTTTGCATCATTCTTCAACAGTACCCTTTATGGCAGCTTTGCTAGCATAATTCACTCTGCTTTTCCATCTGACGAAGGGAGCTTTGGCTCTCAAAAGCTTTACACTCCAAAAATCTTATTGGCCTGTCATAGGGAGGCCAGCCTCCAAGCGGGACCTGGGGACCCCCCCAGAATTACAGCTCATCTCCAGACTGCAGACAACTGGCGGTAATTGACCAGGAGAGAGATCTTGGAGTCGTGGTAGATAGCTCACTAAAGATATCGACTCAGTTTGCCACTGCAACTAAAAAAGGCAAATGCTCTGCTGGGGGTTATTAGGAACGTGCTTTTCACTTTAGAGGAAGCTTTGCGCTCACTAAGACAGACTTATTCAAAATAGACTTAAAGGAGTCCTTCCTCTTAAAACTTTTGTATAATTAAGGAGGAGTGATATTAATAAAGGGGTTGTGCAATATCTTTTGTGATATATTAAGAGATGATGCTCAATATATTGTGATATATTAAGAGATGATGCGGTGGCTCAAGTGGTTAAGACGCTGAACTGCAGGCTGCGGAAGGTCAGTAGTTCAGCAGTTCGAGACCCGAGTTGCCGCATTACGGAGTGAGCTCCTGTCTCTAGTTCCAGCTCCTGCCAACCTAGCAGTCCGAAAGCAAGAAATTGCAAGTAGATCAATAGGTACCACTTTGGTGGGAAGGTAACAGCATTCCGTGTGCCTTGGTGTCTAGTCATGCCGGTCACATGACCACGGAAATGTCTTCGGACAGCGCTGGCTCTTCAGCTTTGAAACAGAGATGAGCACCGCAACCCTAGAGTCGGATTCGACTGGCTTTCGAGCAAGGGAACCTTTACCTTTACCTTAAGAGATGATACTTAGATGTTATTGATACATTATTCTTTCTATGTATTAAGGCTTATATGATAAATCATATATGGTGAATAAATTGTAAAAATATAAAACAAAAAATATATATAAATTACTTGAGATACTTTATAAGTATCATAAATGCCGCTGTATAAATCGATGGTGAGACCTCATTTGGAGTACTGTGGACAGTTCTGGTCGCCTCGCCGCAAAAAAGATAGCATAGCATTGGAAAAGGTGCAGAAAAGGGCAACTAAAATGATTAAGGGGAGGGAACTCCTTCCATTTGAAGAAAGGTTCAAGAGGTCAGGGCTTTTTAGCTTGGAGGAATGACGACTGAGGGGTGACATGACCAAGCTTTACAAAGTTATGCGTGGGACAGAGAAGGAAGAGGAAGAAGTGTTTCCCTCTCTTTCTCACAGTTCAAGAACTTGTGGGCACTCAATGAAATTAATGCGCAGTAGCCTAAGAACAGATAAAAGGAAGTAAACGGAATTCTCTGCCGCAGGAAGCGGTGGTGGCTACAAGCATAGACAGCTTCAAGAGGGGATTGGATCAACAGATGGAGAAGGGGGCCATGAGTGGCTATTAGCCACAAGGTATAGATGGAAGCGGAGCTGCGGTGGCTCAAGTGGTTAAGACGCTGAACTGCAGGCTGTGGAAGGTCGGTAGTTCAGCAGTTCGAGACCCGAGTGTGCCGCATGACGGAGTGAGCTCCTGTCTCTAGTTCCAGCTCCTGCCAACTTAGCAGTTCGAAAGCAAGAAATTGCAAGTAGATAAATAGGTACCACTTTGGTGGGAAGGTAACAGCGTTCCATGTGCCTTGGTGTGTAGTCATGCCGGCCACATGACCACGGAAACGTCTTCGGACAGCGCTGGCTCTTCGGCTTGGAAACGGAGATGAGCACCGCAACCCTAGAGTCGGAGTCGACTGGCTTTCGAGCAAGGGAACCTTTACCTTTACCTATAGATGGAACACTCCTTCTGGGGCAGTGATGCTCTGTCTTCTTGGTACTTGGGGGGCAAGAGTGGGGGAGTTTCTGGAGTTCTGGCCCTGCTGGTGGACCTCCTGAGAGCCCCTAGGTTTTGGCCACTGTGTAACACAGAGTGTTGGGTTTAAGGGGTCATTGGCCTGATCCAACATGGCCTCTGTTATGTTCTTTGTCTGGGGCAGTGATGCTCTGTACGCTTGGTCCTTGGGGGGAAACAGTGGGAGGGGGCTTCTGGAGTTCTGGCCCCGCTGGTGGACCTCCTGATGGCACCTGGGTTTGGGCCACTGTGTGACACAGAGTGTTGGACTGGATGGGCCATTGGCCTGATCCAACATGGCTTCTCTCATGTTCTTATGTTCTTAAAGTTTCTCCTAATGTACCACTGAAGGTTTAATCTGTTCACAAACCTGAAGGCTCAAAGACAACCCTCATCCCTCCACTCTGTTGGATTCACCTGAAATCACGGCGTTCCTTTGGCAAGTGGAATCTTCATCCTAGCTCTGTGGTTTTCGAACCACTGAAGTTAGCAGGATTATCCCATGCATAACCTTGTAAACCTCGATCATGTCACCCCTCAGCCGTCGTTTCTCCAAGCTAAAGAGCCCCAAGTGCCTTAACCTTTCTTCATAGGAAAAGTGTTCCAACCCTTTTATCATTCTAGTTGCTCTTTTCTGCACTTTGTACAATGCTATAATATCCTTTTTGAGGTGTGGTGACCAGAACTGTACACAGTACTCCAAATGAGGTCGCACCATCGATTTATACAAGGGCATTATGATCCTGGCTGATCTGTTTTCAATTCCCTTCCTAATAATCCCCAGCATAGCGTAGGCCTTCTTTGTTGCAGTCACACACTGTCTTGACATTTTTAGTGAGTTATCTACTATGACTCCAGGATCTCTCTCTTGGTCAGTCTCTGCCAGTTGGGACTCCATCAATGTATATTTATAGTTAGGATTTTTGGCCCCAATGTGCAACACTTTGCACTTGGCCACACTGAACCCCATTTGCCACGTTGACGCCCACTCGCCCATCCGTGACAGATCCCTTTGGTGTGCCTCACAATCCTCCCTCGTTCTCACCACCCTGAACAATTTAGTGTCATCCGCAAATTTAGACACTTCACTGCTTACTCCCAACGCCAAATCATTAATGAAAAGAGATAGTGAAATCATTAGTGAACAGAGATAGTGAAATCATTACAATAAGTACCCCTTGGTTCAATCGGCTGGTGTTGACTCCATATGCAGCTATGCAGGTCGTCCAGGACTAAAGAAGAAAGGAGTTCATACTAATGAACAGGGCTTTTTTTGTAGAAAAAGCCCAGCAGGAACTTATTAGCATGATAGGCCACACCCAACAGCAGGAACTAATTAGCCTATTAGGCCACACCCCTGACACCACGGCATATTAACATATTAGGCCACACCCCCATGTTACCAGAACTGTGGTCATCCAGCCACACCCACCTTTTGCTTCTTATTCTGTTTACCTTGTTTGTTGTCAAAACCCAGGGCCTTTTTTTGTAGCAGGAACTCCTTTGCATGTTAGGCCACACACCCCTAATGTAGCCAATCCTAATGAGTTCCTGCTGTTGGGTGTGGCCTATTATGCTAATGAGTTCCTGCTGGGCGTGGCCAACCTGGGAGCCAGCCGGAACTCCGTTCCTGTGCGTTCCTGCCCAAAAATAGCCCTGCGTAATGAAATGTGCAGACCAGATAGGAGGAGAAGAGACCTCTACTTAATGGAGCATGAGGCAGACACAACTACTGGAATTCTCGTAGGGTTACCAACCTCCAGGTGGGGCCTTGAGATCCCCTGGAATTACAACTGATCACCAGACTTCAGAGATCAACTCCCCTAGAGAACATGTTGGATTCAGAGGGCAAACTTTATGGGTAAACCATAGATTCTAGGTGAAATCCCGCTCCAAATCCCTACCACCACAGGCACATTTATTTATTTATTTTATTTGTATCTTCCGATTTACACCTCGCCCTCCCTGCTTACGCAGGCTCAGGAATTTCCGCAAATCTCCAGGAATCTCCCAGGCAAGAGTCGGCAACCCTGGTTTCTGGTACACCCTGGTACACTGCCACAGGAAGTGGTGGCGGCTACAAGCATGGACGGCTTCAAAACGGAATTACATAGGCATATGGAGCAGAGGTCCATTAGTGGCTATTAGCCACAAGGTATAGGTAGGGGCTGTGGGACAAGTGATGCTCTGTCTTCTTGGTGCTTGGGGGGGGGCAACAGTGGGAGGACTTCTAGTGTCCCGGCCCCACTGGTGGACCTCCTGAGGGCACCTGGTATTTCTGGCCACTGTGTGATACAGAGTGTGGGACTGGATGGGCCTTTGGCCTGATCCAACATTGGCATCTCTTATGTTCTTATGTTCTCTGATCCCCCCTTCGCTCGGGAACATAAACAACACTCGGCGATGACGCAGCCAGTCCAATGTGCTCAGTGCAGAATCCTGAACATGAAAACATGGATCGCTTCACCCCTGAATTGGCATACCCTGTTCCCCGCTCCAGCCCTAAATTTTCGTGCTTTCCTTTTTGCCAGAGGAAACGAAAGCCTTGGGAAATTCCTCCTCTCCCTGTTCTCATGCTCTGTGTGTTCTGTTCGGTTCGCCACTAAACATGATTGCCTTAAAATACGCAGAAAGGGGAAGCCCTTTAGAAAAGTGGGCTTTCAGCAGTTTCCTGAGTCACGCACCCACCAGGTCCAGGAAATCACACCAAGGCAGAGTATATAGGAGGTGACTTGGAACGAAAAACGGTGCACCCGCAGACACCCGGGACGATGGAGGGCCGGATCCTGCTGATGCTTGGCCTTGCCGTGGCAGCCACAGCTATGCCTCCTGCACAAGAGGAGCTCGGCTACGAGGAGGCCGTTTCCTTGGCAATCGACCTCTACAACCAAGAGCCAGGGGTGGCATGGGCCTTCCGACTCCTGGAAGCCAAGCCCCAGCCGGAGTGGGTGAGTGAGTGGCAACAACAGCGGTAGCTCATATTGTGTCATCTGTGGCTAGTGTGAGACTTGAACTGGGGTCCATGCTTCAGTGCAGTCCGTGCTGGGTGGCCTGGAGCAAGTGACTCTCTCTGGGCCTCAGTCTTCTTCTGTGGAATGGGTGCTTTCAAGCCCTGTAGGAAAGAGGCCAATCGGAGAATCACAGGTGCGGCACGAACAGTCCAGATGCGTATGGCGACAGAGCCATAGTCTCTGAGGGAAATGTGGGGCACAGCCCCACGCCAGAGCTGCTGTTTGGGGATGGGTGTCTGAAGAACTGAGTCAAATTGAGGTGACAAGAGGTAAAATTCTAGGGCTATGAGGGAAATTGAAAACTAATAAGCCTCCACATCCGGATGGCATACACTTGAGGATTCGTAAAAGAACTAAAACGTAAAACTTTTTAAAAGTATATGTAAGTTGTCCCTAAAATTGGCCTCTTGGCCAGATGACAGGAAAGCAGCAAGTATCATCCCAGTTTTTAAAAAGGGGTTCTGAGGGGATCAAGGGAATTACAGGTCTGGGTAAATTGGTAGAAACTATTATTAAGAACATAAGAACATAAGAGACGCCAATGTTGGATCAGGCCAAAGGCCCATCCAGTCCAACACTCTGTGTCACACAGTGGCCAGAAATACCAGTGCCCTCAGGAGGTCCAGCAGTGGGGCCAGGACACCAGAAGCCCTCCCACTGTTGACCCCCCCAAGCACCAAGAAGACAGAGCATCACTTGCCCCAGAGCCCCTATCTATACCTTGTGGCTAATAGCCACTGATGGACCTCTGCTCCATTTGCTTATCTAATTCCCTTTTGAAGCAATTGCTATTAAGGATATTGAAGAACAAAGCCTGCTGAGGGAGAAACCAGCATGGCTTCTGTAAAGGGGAGTCCTGCCTCATCAACCTTCTGGAGTTCTTTGAGCAGGTTAATAAGCATGTGGACAAGGGTGATCTGGTAGACACCATATACTTGGACTTCCAGAAGGCCTTTGACAAGGTCCATCACCAAAGATGCCTGAGTGAGGTTAGCAACGCAGCGGGCCTGGACATTGCGGGGCGCTACCTCACTCTAAGGGTGTCTAAGTGTTTTCTACTCAAATGGGATGCCTCTCTTTGTCATAACCTGGGAGCTGCCCTCCGACCCCTCCTCCCCTTGCCCTTTCGCTCTCGCTGCACATGGCCTTCCATGCGGGACCAGCTGGCCATTTGTGTCAGGGAAAGCACTCTTTAGATTAGGTTTCTCTCTCTTGCTTTTAACTGCAACCTACATGTGAACTGGATCTACTTGAATGAATGTCAGTTGACCTTCTTTGCAATATACTTCTTGGGAGATTTATTTACTGCACTCGGGATCAGGCTTCTATGACTGGGCAAAACTCTGCAGCATTAACCAGTAGGTTCCTCTTGGCACTTCTCTCTTTCTTGCTAGGACCCCTCGATCCAGTCCCTCCAGGAGCTGGAGTTCACCGTGCAGGAGACCACGTGCCCCCCCTCGGAGCAGCTGAACCTGGACAAATGTGGCTTCAAGGCTGACGGGGTGAGTTCCCTCCCTCTGTTCCCACCCAACCCATAATCAGAGGGCCAGAGACTACCTGTCTTGGTGCAAAGCTAAAGCATTTGCTTTATGTGGCTGTCACGATCTGTGTAGGACTGGGAGACAAGCCCTAGTGAGGCCTAGGCCCAGGAGAGACCTGCATGGGAGTGGAAAGCAGACACAGCCCACAATCCCCACAATGCTTGTTGACAGTTGTAACCAATCAGTGTCCAGGGATTGTATGAGGAGATTGTGACTTAAACATTGTGTGCTGTGGAACGGCCTTCTTTTTCTCTCACAGAGCTAAACTGAAGGGACTGCATTCTTTTCCCTCACAGAGTTAGGCTGAGAGGACAGTCTGGTCTGAGAGAAGGATCCCTCACTTGGGACGGAGTGAGTACAGGCACAGGCCTGGTATAAAAGGCGGTGGGCCTCGAATAGTAACCAGTTAAGAGAAATAGGTAGCCGTGTTAGATTTGTTTTATTTTCCTCTAGACACTGTTATATATTTTAAGCACCTTGTCTTGTTTTCCTTGCCCCATTACTGTATTAATAAACCATTTGTTTCATTGTTCTCTGCCTGGTCATCACGCTTATATTTCTCAGCTTAAAAGGGACATTTTGGTTGGGCTTGGGAGGGTACTCTGGGCCTTCCCAAGGGACCCTAAGTCCAGAGTGGTGGCAGTGGAAGGTGGCGACCCATGAGGGGATCACGACAGTGGCAGAACCTGAGCATGAAGGACAGCAAAGCAGTGGGACAACAGGGAGCACTGACCTATGGGGCACTGCCCACGAAGACGCTGTTGGAATTTCCTGGTGCAATGTTCCCTGTCTCAGACCTCCAGACCGTGTGGCAAAAGAGACTAGATAGCTAGATGGGCACACTGACCTTTCTTCTTGTATCTACTCTTCTGCCACTGTCCCCTTTGAAATGCAGATTGTGCTCTCAGGGACCAATGTCCCCCTTCCTTCCACTCACATGCAGACAAAGACAAGGTCTCACCCTGCACGCACGAAGAGCGAGACACGCGGTCCTCTCTTGGCACCACGAGGCAGATGGGCCTCTCGCCATCTGCTTCCATCCTTTAGCTAGTAAGTTAGTACTCTATCATGTCCCTACTCTTTCCTATCCAAAGTGTACTTTTCAAGTAAGGTAAAGGTAAAGGTTCCCTTGCTTGAAAGCCAGTCGGATCCGACTCTAGGGTTGCGGTGCTCATCTCCGTTTCCAAACCGAAGAGCCAGCGTTGTCCGAAGACTTCTCCGTGGTCATGTGGCCGGCATGATTAAACACCAAGGTGCACGGAACGCTGTTACCTTCCCACCAAAGTGGTCCCTATTTATCTACTTGCAATTTCTTGCTTTCGAACTGCTAGGCTGGCAGGAGTTCTCAAGTAAGGAGAGGAGCATTTTCCTTCTAAACTTAGAATGTGGCTCTGTGTAGTTTTGTAAGCCGAGTAACCTGGTAAAAGTGACGCTCCTGCGTTTGTAGCTTTATTTAACCACTCTGCTAACCAGGGGTCATTTCGTAGAAAAAGAGCTAGGGGAACTCATTAGCATAACTCATTAGCATATGCCACATCCCCTGACATCAGGGGCCTGGCGGTGGACCTGCAAGGCCAGTGGGAGTGCAAGGAAGCCCCGCGAAGGCCCTCCCTGGCCCCAGGCAGGCAGGGGTGGGGAGAGGCGGGGAGGAAGCAACTTACCCTCCCTCTTCTCCTGCCTCCTCCTGGCTGAATGAGGGCCGGAAGCAGGGCGGCCGGAAGTAGGGGGCGGGGCTTCATCATGTGCCCCACCCCCCGTACATCACCTGGGGGAACTGCGTTCCCCCGCGTTCCCCCCCGAAATGACCTCTGCTGCTAACTAATGGTGACTGGAATAACCACACCCGTTGAAGCTGTGTAGGACATGGAGACGTTTCCCCCCGACTTGCCCCGATTCTGTCAGAACTGGTTCTCACAACCTTCGTTCTGTGCCTGTTCTGAACTGGGCCAACATCCCTCTGCTGAAACAGTGAGGGCCCACCAGCCATGCTCTCGATCACTAATATTGCCACTACCAACTTAATTTATATCTCGGGTTGCCAACCTCCAGTTGGGTCTAGTAACAAATAAATATACACTGCAAAAACCTTTTAGCAAACGAATGTGTTCTAATTAAGGTCATCATTTAGTAAAGTGCGTAGTGTATCATTATTTCGTCCTAGTCAGGTATAAATATTCATTACATTCAATAAGCAATAAACATTCAATACATACAGATTGTTAACTACCAGACAATTTTGCATCAGTGTTTTAAAAGTCAAGCCCCAACGGGAGTATCTAGAATTATAAGCGCGCTTCTCCTTGCATGAAGCCTTCCAAAAAGGGGACAGCCTTCTTGTATGGATGCTTTTTGCCGGTCCTACAAAAGACTATTTAAAAGACATAATTCATAAGTATAAGCAGTTTGAAAGCAAGAAATTGCAAGTGGATAAATAGGTACCACTTCAGTGAGAAGGTAACAGTGTTCCGTGCACCTTGGTGTTTAGTCATGCCGGCCACATGACCACGGAAAACGTCTTCGGACAGTGCTGACTCTTCAGCTTTGAAACGGAGATGAGCACCGCAACCCTAGAGTCGGATTCGACTGGCTTTGGAGCAAGGGAACCTTTACCTTTACCTTACTAATATAACTTGGCTTCATTATAGAATTTCCCCCTTTTTGGAAGACTTCATGCAAGGAGAAGCGAGCTTATAATTCTAGAAACTCCCGTTGGGGCTTGACTTTTAAAACACTCATGCAAAATTGTCTGGTAGTTAACAATCTGTATGTATTGAATGTTATTGCTTATTGAATGTAATGTTTATACCTGACTAGGATGAAATAATGATACACTACGCACTTTACTAAATGATGACCATAAATAGAACACATTAGTTTGCTAAAAGGTTTTTGCAGTGTTTATTTATTTGTTACTAGACTCTCCTAACACTGCAGCTCGGGTTGCTTCAGCCTCCAGGTGAGGCCTGGGGGTCTCCTGTAATTACAATTGATTTTCAGGCGAGAGAGATCCACTCCCCTGAAGAAAATGGCTGCTTTGGAGGGTGGTCTCCATGGCATTCTACCCCGTTGAGGTCTTTCCCTTCCCCCAAATCTCACCCTCCCCAAGCTCCACCCCCAAAATCTCTAGGTGGCTCCCCTCCCAGACCTGGAAACCCAGCCTTTAGTGTACTCTTCTCATTGAAATTTAAGGCAGATTACAAAATATGAAAAAACCGCACAGTTCAATCAGTGAAACCCCCCCAAATAATAGGGTTTCCAGCTCTGGGTTGGGGAGAAACCTGGAGATTTAGGGGGGTGGAGTTTGGGTCAGGTCGGGTTTGCGGAGGAGGAGGAGGAGGTGGGCAGGGCGTGTTACCATAAAGTCCACCTTCCAATGCAGCTTCTTCTGGTTCGACAGTTCCCTTATGCTTTCCTCCCCCTGAACGGCCATCTTTGCCTCCTCTCTTGCAGGTGGTGAAGGAATGTCATGGGACCATCATTTCTGAGCAGGGGGCTCCCGTCGTCCAGTACCTTTGTGAAACAGCAGGCGAGGGGGTAAGTTCACCCTATAAGGGAACGTGGGGAAGGGCGAGTGCCCCTTATAGAAGAAGAAGAAGAAGATACTGGATTTATACCCCGCCCTTTACTACCCAAAGGTGTCTCAGAGCGGCTTACTACACACTTGATCTTAGCCAAAAGGCCGAGAAGCGGTGTCTCAGAGCGGCTTACAAACTCCTTTCCCTTCCCCTCCCCACAACAGACACCCCGTGAGGTAGGTGGGGCTGAGAGAGCTCTTGACAGAAACGGCTCTTTTTCAAGAACACCTCTTATCAGAACTACGGCTTGCCCAAGGTCATCCAGCAGCTGCACGTGGAGGTGTGGGGAATCAAACCCAGTTCTCCCAGATTAGAGTCCGCACACTTCACCTCCACACACAACTGGCTCTACACCAAACTGGCTCTATAGTACAATGGAAGCAACATGGTAACTTTCTTTACATTATTTGTAGTCCACATTGAGACTCAAGGGCAGATGACACAGTGTGAGTAGGGTTGCCAACCTCCAGGCGACAGAGACCAGTTCACCTGGAGAAAATGGCCGCTTTGGAAGGTGGACTCCGTGGCAGTACACCCCATTGAGGTCCCTCCCCTCCTCTAAACCCCGCCTTCCTCAGGCTCCGCCCCCCAAATCTCCTGGTATTCCCCAGACCAGAGCTGGCAACCCTAAGGCTGCGGTCACACACTCTAAAAAATCCACTTTCCATCCTCTTTTAGTGCACTTTCCAACTGGACTTTACTGTGTAAAATCCAGCTGGGAAGCGTACTGAAAGTGGATTGGAAGTGGATCATTTAGAGTGTGTGTGACCGCAGCCGAAGTGTTTAAGTCAGCACAATGGGTAGGACGGGACACCCAATAAGCAATGTAATAGGACTAGGATTGCAGAAGCCTGAAGCAAAGCATAAGTATTAACATAACGTGACGAAACGATGCAGAAATTGCATCGTAGGATAATACCTACAGCCACAGGTAATACGTACTCTACTACACTTTGGTATACGCCGCAGTCCTTTACCCTTAATTAGATCATCTTCCTGAAGCATTCTGTTATAAGGACAAAAGAGGGGGAAAGGGAAAAAACCCTGAACCTAAAACCTAGAATTCAGAACCTAAAAAAGGTTAGTCAAGAATAGAAGAGGGCCAACTCTAAAAGTCTAATTATGAAACATACAAAAATATACATATATATTAATTAAACACAAATTAAAATAACAAATAGGGGCCCATTCATACCTCATATACAAATATAAAAATACAAAGGAGGAGGAGGATTTAAATGCTGCCCTTCACTCGGAGTCTCAGAGCAGTTTACCGTCTCCGTCCTTTCCCCTCCCCACAACAGACACCCTGTGAAGTAGGTGGGGCTCTGAGAGCTCTGAGAGAACTGCTCTTGAGAGAGCCACTTTGAGAGAACCTGTGACTGCCCCAAGGTCACCCAGCTGGCTGCATGTGGAGGAGTGGGGAATCAAACCTGGTTCTCCATCGCACTTAGCCACTACACACCAAACTGACTTCTCTAGGGGGAAGTGAGGAAAGGGTTAACGCTTCCTCCTGCACCTTCTCTTTTTGGCACTGTCCCCTTCCCCAGAATGGTACCCTCACTCACAGAAGAGAGAAACATACAGGCTT